AATTGTGGTCAAAAAATAAATACATTCAAAATGTTCAATGTAAATGTTACAAAAAACTGTAAAAAGAAATTTGATAAGTTGCAAATGAAAATTTGCAATTTTTCATATTTTAAATTATTTAACTTTTGAATGGTAGAATCAGAAGCTGCTCTTCATATTAGTGACAATAACAGTAATAACAGCTTTTTGACACGATGCTTAAAAATAAACTATGAAAATAAATTTGATAAAGTACAAATGAAAATATAGACTTTTAAAGTAGAAACAGAAGCTGCTCTTCATATTAGTGACAAACAATAACAGTAATAACAGCTTTTTGACACGTTTAAAGTTTCTTTAAAATACATTCAAAATGTTTAAAAATAAACTACAAAAAATAATTTGATAAAGTGCAAATTAAAACATAGCGTATCTTCAAATGTATTTGATAATGTTTTTAACTTTTAAAATATTTCCTGGTTAAACCAGAAGCTGTACTTCATATTAGTGTCAAACTTTGGCTTTTTTTGAAGGGTTACCTTCTTTTTTTGCTTCTACTTTTCATTTAAAATAGGTTTCCACTCTGGGCAGGTTTCTAAGCTTCTTCTTCTTCTACATATTAAAAAAGTTGTCAAACATCTTAGTAGCGCACTACCGCTACTAGTGGTGAGAAAGTGTATTGCACCTTATTTAAAATCAATGCGGTCCCGTGGCCCTCTGCGGTCCAATGGTAAAAACTGTTGTTCTTTTGAGGCCCTCAAGGTGGCGCTCGCGGCCCATAGGTTAAGAATCTCTGATCTACATTGTGATGTGGATAAAGCCTCAACCCGTGTGTAAATTACATTTACAGAATATTGTGCTGCTTGTATGAGATCATAAAAAATACAAACTAGCCTGCTTTTTTTGTTTGTTTCTTTGTTTGGCTTGGTGGGGGGGGCATTTTACAGGTTATAATGTCATTCCCTCATCAACCACATACCCAGAGTGTTGTTTTGACTCATTCATGATTCCTGCATGAGGAAGATAAATTAAGTCATATCTCTGGATAAATTTAGGATATCAGAATGATCCTGGTATCAAAATGTAGCTTTTAAAGCCAGGAATCTGAAAATCTAATTAGGTTATTTTGACTTAATTTGACTTAATCCTCATTTTACACCAGAGCAATTTCCTAGTCTGTAACTCGTTACAGACAATGGCAATAAAGTGTTTCTGATTCTGATTCTGATTCTGCTATGATGGATCACGTATATAACATTTTCATAACAACTGAAGGTAACATAGTTACTTGATTGTGAACTATGTGCCTGGCAAATATATAATAC